CTTGATCTCTCCGCCTAGCGAGGGGAAGGGCCCACTCGTGCGGCGCGGCGCTGACCGAGGTTCCAGCTGCCGTGATCGAGGGTCGCGTGCTGGACGTGTTTGGGCCTTCCTCGGGCGCCCTCGTGGCCCCTGGCCGATCGAGGTTCCAGCTGCGATGATCGAGGGTCGCTTGCTGGACGTGTCTGGGGCGCCCTCGTGGTTTCTGGCCGATCGAGGTCCGAGCTGCGATGATCGAGGGTCGCTTGCTGGACTTGTTTGGGCTTTCCTGGGGCGCCCTCGTGGTTTCTGGCCGATCGAGGTCCGAGCTGCGATGACCGAGGGTCGCTTGCTGGACGCGTTTGGGCCTTACTGGGGCGCCCTCGTGGTTTCTGGCCGATCGAGGTCCGAGCTGCGATGGTCGAGGGTCGCTTGCTGGACGTGTTTGGGCCTTACTGGGGCGCCCTCGCGGCTTCTGGCCGATCGAGGTCAGAGCTGCGATGATCGAGAGTCGCTTGCTGGACGTGTTTGGGCATTCCTGGGGCGCTCTCGTGGCTTCTGGCCGATAGAGGTCCGAGCTGCGATGACCGAGGGTCGCTTGCTGGACGTTGTTGGGCCTTCCTGGGGCGCCCTCGTGGCGTCTGGCCGATCGAGGTTGGAGCTTCGATGATCGAGGGTCGTTTCCTGGACGTGTGTTTGGGTCTTCCTGGGGCGCCCTCGTGGCTTCTGGCCGATCGAGGTTCGAGCTGCGATGATCGAGGGTCGCTTGCTGGAGGTTGTTGGGCCTTCCTCAGGCGCCCTCGGGGCGCCCTCGTGGCTTCTGGCCGATCGAGGTTCGAGCTGCGATGACCGAGGGTCGCTTGCTGGACGTGTCTGGGCCTTCCTCGGGCGCCCTCGTGGCTTCTGGCCGATCGAGGTTCGAGCTGCGATGACCGAGGGTCGCTTGCTGGACGTGTTTGGGCCTTCCTGGGGCGCCCTCGTGGCTTCTGGCCGATCGAGGTCCGAGCTGCGATGATCGAGGGTCGCTTGCTGGACGTGTTTGGGCCTTACTGGGGCGCCCTCGCGGCTTCTGGCCGATCGAGGTCAGAGCTGCGATGATCGAGGGTCGCTTGCTGGACGTGTTTGGGCCTTCCTGGGGCGCCCTCGTGGCTTCTGGCCGATCGAGGTTCGAGCTGCGATGACCGAGGGTCGCTCTGGACGTGGGGCGCCCTCGTGGCTTCTGGCCGATCGAGGTCCGAGCTGCGATGATCGAGGGTCGCTTGCTGGACGTTTTTGGGTCTTCCTGGGGCGCCCTCGCGGCTTCTGGCCGATCGAGGTCAGAGCTGCGATGATCGAGGGTCGCTTGCTGGAGGTTTTTGGGCCTTCCTCGGGCGCCCTCGTGGCTTCTGGCCGATCGAGGTTCGAGCTGCGATGACCGAGGGTCGCTTGCTGGACGTGTCTGGGCCTTCCTGGGGCGCCCTCGTGGCTTCTGGCCGATCGAGGTTCGAGCTGCGTTGACACGAGGCGTCGGCTTGCTGGTCTGTTCGGGCCCTTGCTCGGGCGCACTCGTGGCATTCTGGACGTTCGTGGTTCGAGCGGCGATGACCGAGGTCGCTAACGCGAAGGTTTGGGCCTTCCTGGGGCGCCCTCGTGGCTTCTGGCCGATCGAGGTTCGAGCTGCGATGACCGAGGGTCGCTTGCTGGACGTGTCTGGGCCTTCCTGGGGCGCCCTCGTGGCTTCTGGCCGATCGAGGTTCGAGCTGCGATGACCGAGGGTCGCTTGCTGGACGTGTTTGGGCCTTCCTGGGGCGCCCTCGTGGCTTCTGGCCGATCGAGGCCCGAGCTGCGATGATCGAGGGTCGCTTGCTGGACGTGTCTGGGCCTTCCTCGGGCGCCCTCGTGGCTTTCCTCTGGCCGATCGAGGTTCGAGCTTCGATGATCGAGGGTCGCTCGCTGGGCGTTTTTGGGGCCGGCCTGGGGCGCCCTGGTGGCCACGGCCAGAGCCCCAACGAAAGCCTGATCTCATCGGAGCGCACTCCAGGATAGGTTGGGGGTGTGGGAGATTTGGCGACCCGTGCGAGGGCAGCGACAGGACGGGGGGGGGGGTGCGCGCGTGCGCGGGGTAATGTTTGTCCGCGTGCGCGAGAAAAGGAATCGGGGAAAGAGGGAGACAAAAATGGAACGGGACAAGAACGGACAACGGGGAACAAGTGGGGGGGGGAAGACGAAAGTGGGGGTGAAATGCGTGTCTGTTGTGTGTTGTGTGTTGTGTTGTGTTGTGTGTTGTGTGTTGTGTGTTGTGTGTTGTGTGTTGTGTGTGTGTTGCGTGTTGTGTGTGTGCGTTGTGTGTGTGTGTGTTGTGTGTTGTGTGTTGTGTGTGTGCGGTGTGTGTGCGCGTGTGTATATGTGTGTGCGTGTGTGTGTGTGTGTGTTGCCGGCGTGTGCGTGTGTATGTGCCTGCGAAGGTGGCGCGCGTGTGTGGGTGTGGTGTGTGTGTGTGTGTGTCTGTGGGTGTGTGTCGTGTGTGTGTGCGTGTGCGTGTGCGTGTGCGTGTGCGTGTGCGTGTGCGTGTGCGTGTGCGTGTGCGTGTGCGTGTGCGTGTGCGTGTGTTTGTGTGTGGTGTGTGTTTGAGTGGGCGTGTGTGTGTGTGTGTGTTTGTGTGCGTGTGTGCGCGTACTGTCTGCGAGCGTGTGCGTGCGTGTCCGTCGGCGAAATGTCGCCGCC